ATTGCTAAGAAGCTGCTTTCAGCTGCTCATAAGGTGCTTTCCTCACCTCCTGTTCTCTAGCGTTCACCTCAGTGACTCACAAGGAAGGATTAAAGTTGTGTCCCTGAAGTTCACCAAAAGCCACAAAGTCTAATATTGTAAGTATAATAATCCTTTTGCAAACTCTCCAATAACTGCTTCCTATAAACAGCTCTTGTTCCAGACAACATCAGAATGCCCCCCCTAGCTTGGACCAAAGAGCATTTCTAGTCCAGGCTCCGTTACTGACTGGGACGGTTAGCAGGTGCCTAGAGAAGAGAGTAAAACCAAGATGAGCACGCAGTGCTACTTAATCAGTTTAACAATCTGTTGACTCACAGATTTTGCTTCTGTGGCTAAAAGCCTTGGGTAGATTTTTTTCTTCTATGAATTTGTCTGTTTGCAGCATCTTGTAGGAGTAAGTTCTGTAGTGTACAAACAGAGAAGTATCTTCTTTTCAACTGCTTTTCTACCTGTTGTCTTCTAATTTAATTTGATTTGCACTGATTGTTAAATGGAAAGAATTTTTTTCCCTATTTACTGTCTCCGTTCCATATATCTCTTCAGAGACTTCTATTACCCCTTCTTCCCCTCCAATCTTTTAATTTCCGGGATGAAGAGTCCCAGTCAATCTACTCGTGCCTCATAGTGAAACTGTTCCATACATTCAACCACCCTTTTCATCTTCCTACAATTTACCTAGTCAGAGCACAGTCAAGTTTGTCACACCCAAGACACACAAAAATCTCAATTTGTAACAAGTGATGAATGAACTTCAGAAAGAATGCATTAGTGTGGATGTTCATTTAAATCACTTCACTTTCTTCAGATCCAAAGGTTTTCCACTCCTGTGCTAACAGCAGAAACCTATGAATCCCACAACCAGTTTCTCAGGTGAGACTCACAGTTATCCTCCCAAATAACATCCTCACTTTGCTCATCTGTCTTTCCCTCATTTTCTAAACTGCCATTAGCGCAACTCTGGTGGAAAACTGGCCTGTCGTGCCTCATGCCAGTGGTACCCACATTCCAGTGAGGACCAAAGGAATCCCAGTTACTGCAAGAATCTTGATACTTGTAAAGCATGCAGCTGTGTAGCTGTTTACTTGTAAGCACCTCATTTCCAGTGAAGATTTTTACGATTAAAATTTAAATCCATGATCTACAAGGGTCTGATTCACAGCCAAGGTCATTAGAAAGACTTCTATAAAACTTTACTGACATTCGCTTCTGACCTATAAGGAATCACCAAAGGTTGAACCAGATGGTGATGCTGCATCAACGAAACACACCTGGCGTCTTAGAATCATGGAATCATTTAGGTTGGAGAAGACTTTTAAGGTCATTGATTCCAGCCAAAGAGTCTTGCAATAAAACTAGAGGTGACAAGAAAATAACACTAAAAGGATGTCTTAGCCACCAGGAGACTAATACACCTGTGTTATGCTAGTATCAGCACTTACTGAAACTCTACTCCCACAAATCATAGAGAAGGCACATGTGAACATTTCCAAATCTCCAGTCAAATCCCATACTAAACAGAGACAATGACTGTTCAGTTTAAGTGAATCCTTGAACATGTTTGCAATAAATCCAGCAAGACTTAAACTGTTATTACACCAGTACTTACTCCACTGATTTACAGTCTGACTAGAATGAAGAATCCTCATGGTTGACTCAAATAACATCCTTACAAGGTTTCACAAAGACAGGTGAAGAAGATTACATAAGGCAAAATAAGGGATGGAAAACTGGTGCATGACAACCTATTCATCTCCTCAGTTGTCATGCAAGCACAACTCAAAGATTTTCCTTAGCTTCAGGTCCACATTTGTACTTACAAAATCTTTTCCTGACAAATTCTAATCAAAACAGATGGTGATGATAAGAAAAGACAGTTTATTTGACAGTTATTATCCAATAACTTAGTATCCCACGGTACTTCATAAGTTATTTATAATGGAAAAGATTTTAAAACAAAAGAGTAGGTCCAAAGTTTGCTGAAGTATAGACCCAAGTTCCCAGCACCAATCTGTCTGCACTGATGGAAGGATGATAAATGACTTGAGAATGCCAGATATCATTAGGGATCTGGTTTTAATATTTACATATGAATATCTCTCTCGAAATTCCTTTAGCCGCACCCCCACCTCCCCCACCCCGTTTTATGTTTTTACTGTTTTGTAGTAAGAGATGCCAAACACACAAACTTACAAACTGGGAAGCATACAAGGATAGGAAGCCCATTTCTGCTGAGTTTTAACACAGCATAATATGCCTAATTAAAGACACTAGAATGGATGCTGATTATCTGTATCTTTCAACAACTGCACAATTTAAAGAGTGAAAAGAGAACAGCACCAGGGGGAAGTAAGGCAAATCAACCTAATGAAAGATTTCGATGCGGGAGGGGTGTGACAATGCCACAAATGAGGTCACTAGCAGAGACAGGACTAGGGTCAGGGTTCTACCTAAGGCTCTCAATTATTAATTCAACAGTACTTTGTAAGTCAACCTATCCCTTGGTAATCAGGGTGAGGCCATTTCATCCAACTCAGGGAAGTTGCCCGAGATTATTGTGATACAATAATATGTATAGATAAATGGGAAGGTGTGGCAGAGAGCTGAAAGAGAAATAAATTATCAAATACAGAAGGTAATGCAGAGGCAGCCATATGTGCATGAAATACAAAAAGAAAACCATAACTGAGAACAAATCCAGAGTGTTTATACACAAAACAGAGATGTGTCATTAAAAAGAGGCTTTCCTTTAAATAAAAAGAGAAAAGAAATAAACTGTTAAAAAAAAAAAAAAAACTTCCATTGATTTCATCCTGAAAAATCTCAGAATTTAATTTATATTTTCCCTTTCCCATTGCTTGTGCTTGGAAAAATTCATCATACAATGGCAGGTATGCCAAAACAAGCCAGTATTCAACATCACTTTCAAGCTGACCTACAGCTCCCTACTAGGACCAAAGCCAATTCCCCTCAACTCCTCTGTCTGAATTTCTCCATCTGTGCCAGCTATTCTACCTGGCAGCTGCCAAAACAGGGACTTTTTGCTTCTGTTATTCCATTTTCAAGTGGATAAAATCAAATAGTAATTCCATAATCTGCTCACCCGAATCACAGCCTTTACTAAAGTATTTCAAACAGCAAACTTCTCCCAGTGTAAGCCTCCTATGCACATACTGTACTGCTGTCAGCTTGGAGTAACCCTGGCACAGCGTATCAGGTGTGGTACCCTCAGGCAGGTATGGCTAGAACAGATCCAACCTGGCCTGGACAAAGCAGTCAGAGCATTTCTTTGACAGTACACCCATGTTCCTATCCCAAAGTGTCCAACAAATAAATACAACCTCCACTGATTTTCTACTTTACAACAGCAATTTCTGCACACAGACCCATTTTACTGCAGCCTACTTAATGACTTGTTGAACTTCATAAGGCAAAGAGTGTCCTCCTTGTTTCTATGTCCAATACCTAGCATAAAGGTATTACTGCAATACAAAAAGTATTACTGCAGTACAGAGCCTCTGTATCAGTGCAAATTATTTGCATGTTCCTCCTCTATGCTGTTTACAATGGGGTTGAAGTCTTGTTTTGAGCCAAAACACAAGAAAAATTAAGACATGTTATTGTGTAAGGTAGTGTAGAACAGCCTTCAAAACAGAATAGGACCCATGCAAGAAACCCCTGGAGAGCTGGACAAAACACTACAGCAAGGAGAGAGATGTGTCAACAGACACTCTGCATTTGAAAAAAGACCCTGCACAGTTTGTGTGGCTGTCTGCTCACCTCACTAAGATGACATCTCAAGTCTAGAGATTTGCTTTTGTGTTCAAATGATTAATTTATAAAGGTTCTTTAATCCAGTGGCTGCCTAAACCTTCCCAGTCAAAGCATACCAAGGCTGCCCGAGGGGGACTGCAGATTTAAGTGTGGGTTTTGCACAACTGTCAGTCCCAGAACGAGAGCAGCTGGTGGGCTTACCCTGTGTGAAGGCCACGGGCTGAATCACTCAGCATTACTCTGTGAAGGCTGCGGCTGAGAGCAAGACTCCGTCTGACACAGACATCTGAACTTGTTGGCTGCAGGTGAGTTGTTTACTTGCATACCAAAGCAATATTCCAAAGCAGAGTTGCCCAAAGAAAACGTCCGCAAAACACCGCCTTTGATGAGTGTAAACTGAAGGACAAGGGAGCAATAACTGACTCTAAACTTCTTGCCGTTTCACTGTACTAATTCATGAGTGAAAGGTATCTGTTATTTACATGCATCTGCACCACTGTGTGCAGTTGCACCACAGCCTTCTGGTGGACTGGAACTTTATTGGGATAGTGTTTCTTAGCCACAAGTAAACATGCACAAATTTGCAAGCACACTGTTTTCTGGTCCACTCTAAACAGACCAATTCCCTCTGGATTTCCAGGCTTGGGGATTTAAGGTGTCCTTGGCTACAGTTTTCCCCCAGCTGTGAATGATACAATAAAGTACTTTAATGCTACAGAAAGGAGGACAAATGAGTAAAGCAACAGAGATGAACCCTGTACTTTACATTCAGTCCTTTCACATACTCTGCCCGACCTTTAACAGCAGGCAGTTTCTGCCCACTGTCTGTCACAGCAGATAGCAGAGAAAACGTGATAGAATCCAATACAAAATACAAACTGGAGACTGGCAACAGACAAAAGCTGGCATGCAGTCATATGGCCAAGAAATTTAGCCCAAACCCCGCAGGCCCTTCCTTGCAACCACTTTCATCATAACCAGCTGGCGAGCAGCAATAGCTTGACAGAAATATGCCAGAAGCAGACCTTTTCTCATACCTCAGTTCCTCCAATCCCTACAAAAACTGCTCTTAGCCCAGCAAAACTCTCTGTGTTAGAACAGAGATCGCTTACCTTTGAACAGAGATTTTGTTCCAAACACAGACAAACCTTTCTCAGAATCTACAAAGCCTGCAGTTCACCACTTACCTATCCAGAGTGTCCTGAGGCACTTTACTCCCTCCAGCTCTGCTGTTGACACTGGCATTCTTGTTGGCAGTCATGGTCATTTCTGCTTTCTAGAAATGTGGATATCTGTGAGAAGAAAAGTCAATTAAGCTTCAATAAGCCCAAATGACAATTAAACTTCAGGACTGCGAGAAGCACTATGCTGTGTAAAGGCAGAACTCTGGGCCACTTTTCATTCAATAAAATGCAGTCAGTCTAGTTACAATCCTGAAAAAATAAACCTACCTCTCTACTGCTGCTCTTTCACATCCACAGCCAAGTTTATCAGATCAGACCCCAGTGCTACAAAGGCAGATATCTTACAGGAATTAGGTTCTGGCATGTCTGATGAACAGAGCTTGATACAAAGTTCACAAAATATCACGGGTTTGGTATGGTTCTTCCATCCATCAGCATACATGGGGAACCCAGTAACTGCACTGGGTGATAATTGCAGATATCATAGCTATGGCTGGCATTTTGACCACACAGAAGCTATTCCAAGAAACAAAGAAACTATTCTCAATTTTTAAATGAAGCTCTATTATGGAAATATTTTCTAATGGTCAAATATATTCAATAGCAAATATGTTGAGTACAATTGTCAAATCTGTTTGTGATACAAGAATATCTACAAATGGTTTACTCTCTTGGCCCCAAGATTCTTTAAGTCAAACTGTCTTGGGATACTTGACCTCTGATAATATAAAGAATCATTACTAATTCCTAATTACTTCCTAGTAAGTGGGTAACAACCCAAAAACTATAAATTTCATTTCAGCCATGGTAAAACCAGGACACCTGCACATCCAGTTAAGCACCCAAAAGATGGGCTTTACTTTTGTAACGCTGCCACATACCAACAAAGAAACAGTCCAGTACCAGGATTTATTTCGCCTTCATCCCATTATCTTAATAGGAACGTTGTGCTGCAACTAAAGGGAGAATATGATGATATGGATATAGGACAGGACATAATCCTAAGGATGCAAAAGTAGTAACCTCTAACATTATGCACCTCTGATGACTATAGACCATGTTTCTCTGGTATAGAGGGCAGCTCTTAATGGCAATTTCCTCCATCATTGTAATCGCTTGAGAAATATTTTACAAAATAAGGGAGAAATGTATTTTCATGTCATGGTACAACTTCTAAAATGCCAGCAGAGTCCCTTGTGAGAGAAATGGAACGGTACTTAGTCCACCTGATGCTGTAGGAGTTATTTATCAAGGATGCTGCAGCTCTCCTGGCATGTGCTCTGAGTGGTTTTTGAGATGCTCCTTAGTTTATAGGCTGAAATATCTACCACTGTTTGCAGCACTGCCACCCAGGGTCTGACCAGAACTACCAAGTTTTACGACCATTAATGGCAGAGCTAATGCAACAATAAGGACTATTACAAAACTTCTTGTTTACTCAAACCCACAGTAAGTCCAGACTGCCCGAGAAGCCAACTGTAATGTGATGCTGAAAAGTGAGCTGGGTACGGACAACACACAAAATCCTTGTACTAACAGACCCATCGTGGTGAAGAGGATGTTCTATAAACCACTTTATTCCAAATAGTTCTACTACAAATAAGGTCAGAAAATCTCCTGCAGGTTGCAGCTCCAGAGGCAGAGTCAGTCACGCTGACCAGAGATTCCAGGTCTACTTGTCTGTCTCCAATTATCTTGTGTGTATCAATTTTCCCAGATTAAGTAGAGATTTTTTCCCCAGTTGGTAACATTTTTTTCTACACTGAAACTCCCCAGATTCCTCCAGCATCTCACTGTTAGTGTTATATTAGCAAGATAACAGGACTGTTGAAGAACTGCCTGTTCCGACTGGAAAAGGTCTTGCTTGGGACAAGAAAGGAAACCCGCTGATGCTGGCCAAGCTTTCTAAGACCGTACATTCCACAGGGAGCCAGCAGCCTTCTTAATGTTTTCCAGTCACCAGTTCACTACTACTACTGTGTGAAATCTGTCAATCACTTATTCACAATTAAGGCGAGAAAAACAAGAGATATAAATGTGGCACAGAAGTACACGTATTGTATATCAAAGCTTGCTAAAAAATCATTTGGTCAGTTTTTAAAAGTGGTTATTTAAAACCTCACATTTCAACGCTAACTTAAATGTCAAATAGGCCAAACTGGTTTGTTTTCAGCAAAAGAGGAACTGAGTTTTAAAAGGCAATTTCACAAGACATATAAAATTTAGCAACATAAGTGTGTTTCAGTTGAGAGTCTGGTACATATAGTGATACCAACTGTCTTTTCTGTGCAATTTTTCTTTAATGCTTATTTTGCACTAATGTTTTACTGCAGGTGATGCTGGTATCATCCCAGCATACGCAGAGAAAATCCAAATAACCTGCGCATGGCAGAAAAATAGTCAATTGGCAATTTACAGAGGTGCCTGGAAGCAAGGGCATGATACCAAAACAAAAAAGCCACCCCAAAACAAAAATGGAGACAGAAAAAAAAAAACTGAACTAGATTTTTATGGTCATGTAGCAAGTTATTTCAGAACTTTCAAGACAAGTCTGACAGCCCTGTAAGTTTATATGAATCATTGTACGGTAAGAATCTTATCCCTTGGGTTTGTGTGAGAACATTCTCCATCACAGTATTTGCAAATTATTCTTCACAAAGCAATGAAAACCAAAATCTCTCAAGTATTGTGACATACTGTTAAAAACAAATCCAAAAATAGTCATTTCACAGATTCCGTTAACCACGTAGCTTCCCTTTGCCTAACAATGCAGAATTCTGTTTTATTTGTAAATGTAAAGAATTACTCAGAAACCCTTACTTAACTGTAATTTGTGCTTTACTCCAGGCACAGTCTCAGTAATTTCACTAGGACAACTCTTAAATTGGTAATTTAATGAGCCCAGATGGTAGAATCTGGACCTTCTTCATTATTACAATAATTTTGTCTAAAACCTCCACAAACCATTCGGCACAATCAAAGAGCAAAGACAACAGACAAATATAAAAAATGGTGTGATGGCAACATGAGGCCAGGCAAGGTTCGCCATCATGACTGAAAATGGCTGCTGCAATGCAGATATTTCCTAACAGATTTTTATAATTTCAGGAAGCCCTGATGACAGAACATTCCTTATGAACCATGTCCCCTCCTCTTAAAGGTTTTCTTCCACTTCGAAATGAAAGTGTGGCCTGGAGCTTTTTTATGGACAGATGGGGCACTAAAAAACCAAGACACTTTGTGCTAGTGAACCTTACAGCATCACTGAATCTTTAATTCCATTAACAGGTGTTAGCAGGGGAGGCGTAAACCCTATGCTCTCCGCACTGCGGTTTAAAATTATTCTTAATTTTCTAAAGCATCCCAACACTTTGGAAGGACCCACTCTCAGTCCCACTACAGTGCAAGTTGTTCCTCAGCCCACTCCCATTCACAAGTGGCTCAAGGCTAGAGCTAGGCTTGGAGCACCTGAAAAGCCACAGCAATCAAAAGTGCTCTTTTTTTGTACTATTCCAGAGCCTCCTAAGGTCTCAAGAAAACCTTCTACTTTCTTACACACAACGTATCCATCAGTTACTGCACTGCAAGAACCAATTCCCTCCGCTCCTTCTGTGGAAGGTGAATAACATTATTCATGTCAAGGCTCAGATGTCTTTTATATGTCATAAATCAACAGATGTTTTTAGAGAAAACATTTTCATGATTTGAATCATGACATCTTCTATTTTGTTAAAATAATGGGAGCAGAAGAGGGCTTTTCGATTAAAATTTCTTCAGTTCAAGAGATGCATAATTTTTTGTTTGTTGGGAGGTTTTTTGTTGGCTTTAATACCATGCTCAATATCTCTTCCTATCCATATAGTCCTTTTCCCTACTTGTCTTAATTAGATTCATTGCACTCCATTTTCTGCACTCATTTCTAAAGCACATTTTCCATTAAATATAGAGTTCCAATAAAAAGTCCTTAGAGCATGTTGGTTTTCTGAGCATCAGGAACACTAGCACTGTTTATCTGGCAGCTTAATGAAGAATCATCCACATTCTGCTGCTTACTAATGAACACCGAACTTGCACCAACAGAAGGCAACACCTACATGGCTCCAGCCCTCCAGCCAGGCATTCGCTGGGACCCAGGCGACAGCACAGAGCAGATGAAATTAGGAAGGTGTCAACAAAGAATATATGCAGGGTTTCTAATGATTTGAGAAAGGAGCCTCTGAATGTAGGCTTCCGAGGCCTCTCCTGGCATTATCACTAACACTGGTGCCAATTCTATAAAGAAAATTACATCCAGCAAGGATGTTGAACATGTTCATAAGACTTCTCTGCTCTGGACTTCTGCTTTTATTTTTTGAGAGAGGTTTGTCATGACAGTTGGCTGTATGTAAAGTCCTTATTGTCTCATATGTTGCAAAGATTAACCTACACTTAACTGTCCTACACTGAACCACTCTGTACTGCAATCAATATAATTTGCAATATAATTTGCAAGGTATAGTTTGGATTATTGAGATCTGCATATGTTCTGAAGCCTTTAAGGCAGCCAATTTTCCTATTGAAATTCCACTAATATGGGACCTGGAAAATATGGGGAAATATTACTGCTTTGGTCTGCCCCACCAGGCAGAGACCTGGAGACATAACAGGAAGGCATTACAGGGAAGAGCTACAGTCTGCTAAGACAAACTCATGCTTTTGAAAAAGTACCTTGTAATAAAGACAAACTCTCAGAAATATATTATTAATAATAACTGATTTAGTCTACTTATTTTTCTCTTTGACAGTAGCTGCAGCAGAATGTCTCTAAACATTGAGAAGTTAGTTTAAAACAGTATGCTTTTCTGCGTGCTTAAAGGTAATCTTGCCCCCATTTCAAGAGGTGTTATATAGCTAAACTTAGCTTTGTGGCAATTTGCCTATTCCCTTCCAGTAAAACAGATAATTATGTCCTCCCAGAACAACATCCGTTCTGATGAACTGAAAAGTCCAACAGAATCTCTGAAGATTTCTGCCTTGAGAGAGCTTCTATAGAGACTCCAAAGAATATTTTTATAAGAACTACGTGCTTTTATCAGGTATACCTGTTCTCTAAACTGGGCCCCTGTAAA